CAGGCACTGCAGACCCAGTTTTACACATACTTCATTTTTGGAGAAGGCATGTAACAGTGGCCCTCCACTTAAAACATACAGTCTTGACAGCAGATATGCTCTAACTTCAAAAACAAAAAATTAAATTATAAATGTATTACCTTCTTGTAAAACAAGAATACAATCCAGAAATGTTTAGAATAAAAAGTGTACATTACCCTCATTCCTTCTCCCCAGAAATTATCACTTACAAGGCTACGAGTATCCTTACAGTAATTCCATACATGCATATAATATATATGTATCTATAATGTGTACGTGTGTTACATACGCATGTAAAAGGAAATAGATATTTAATATATATACATAGAGGGGATCTATTCTCTTTCAAAGGATCTTGTTAAATATATTCTTCTTTTCACTCAAAAATGTATATCAGGGACAAGTTTTCATGCCAATATATACATTTTTATGTGGGTCTATAATATTCCAGAATATCAATGAATTGTGATTTATTTAGTCCTTCTTAAACTTATGGTTATATCAGTTATCCCAGTTTTTTTCAGTAATACAAAAATGCTATGGTAACTGTTCTTGCATATATATCATCAATTTTAAGCATGCCATATTTGGATGCAGCTGCACTGTGCAAATTTGTCGATTGAGCAGGCAGGAGTGAAATATGGGTGTTGCATAAAGTATAAATCTGCAAGCTGCAAAGCAGTGAGTTGCTACTGGCTTATAGAAACAGTAGACTCATTAAAAGTTGCATTTCGGGGGACACCTGAGTAACTCAATCAGTTAAGCATTCGACTTCAGCCCAGGCCATGATCCGTGCTTCATAGTTCGAGCCTTGCGTCAGGCTCCGTGCTGATAGCCTGGAGCCCAGAGCCTGCTTCAGATTCTGTATCTCTCTCTCTCTCTCTCTCTCTCTCTCTCTCTCTCTCTCGGCCCCTCCCCTGCTTGCACTCTGTCTCTCTGTGTCCCCAAAATAAATAAATATTAAAAGTTGCATTTAGGTATAAATGTATTATTTTTCATAGTCAAGAGACTGTTCTCACAATGTCTTCATAAGAGAATATATCTGTAGGCATGCAGAGCTGTCTCCAACTTTACAACTAAAGGAGGTGTGGGATTGGCTCTACCCTATAACTTTGAGATAATGAGAAGGACAGGAATAGGCATAGGATTCCCTGCAGCTGAAAAGATCAGTGTTTGCTACAATACAACCTATAGCTGTATTTGTCTCCATTAGTCAATGCCTGAATTTGAAAATTACAATTTATTTTTCCTGCAGTTTGATATCCTCTCTAGTCTACCTTCTTTTATTGTATATTCTTTTTGAAAACCCCTCACGCCTTAATTAACTGGATCTAGAGTCATCCTTTATTCATTCAATTATTGATATACATCAGGATACACTAGAGGTCAACAATCTCTAGTACAGCAGGGAAAAGTAATCACCATTCACCATCTGGGCCAATGAGCCCTTTTTATTAATTCATTTTTTAATATTTTTAAGTCATTTACAAATAATTCATAGAAATAAAGGGATAGTAAAAAACAGATTGTATTTAAAATTTTAATAAGAATTTAAACATAGCAAATTCAAATTTATATTCCGTACTTTCCTATTTTTGAAAGTATACATGCTCCAGATAGGCAGTATCTTTAAAATCCAACTAACTGTCCATCACCTGTCATGCAGGAGCCTGGATCATTTCTATACTATAAATACTGATTTTGGATTTTAAACACCTCTTCAGTAGGCTTTAGCTTCTCATCATTTCTGGTTTGTGTAGTGTTTGGCATTATCAAAATGTAATACAGGCCTGGAACATACATCTAAGATGAAATCGGGCCATCACATTAGTTTCTGCACTGGAAAGAAATGGAAATTAACTGGTTATTGTTTGCACATTCTTGAAACCAAGTGTCATGTATTTCCAAGAACCATCCACAATCTTACAGTGCTTAGCAGTGTTAGTTTGGGTATGGGTATGAATACAAAGTTTTAAGTTTCAGTGAGCCTCCTGCTATAAGAAGTATGTGAACTTTAATGCCCACTCTTTTCCCAGTGAAGAGTTCTGATACTAACTTCAGCAGCATTTCCAGTATAAATGTTTATAGGGCCTTCAGGAGCCTACAACATGCAGGTAACCGGGTCCTGAGCATGGTCTCTCTCATTCATATGGGAATTTCTCATGGTAATCAGAGTATCTTGCTCCTTGCTGCTACACCAAAAGCTTGTTATTCTCTTTATTTGTTGGTCTTTGCCCACCCTTCTCCTTTTTTTTTTTTTTTTTTTTTTTCCTTGCAACCCAAGATTCAGATCATTAAGGGATTTGGTGGTTTTGTCATACAAAGGTGATTCAAACTCCCTTCACAACCAGACCAATTGCTTCCATGGAATAACTTCATCCACATCATTTGCAGACTGTAAATCATCAGAGAATGAACTATAAGCCATTTTCAGATAAAAGTCAAAATCTAAACTGCCAAGATTTATTTTATTTTTTTTTTTTTAATTTTATTTTTTTAATTTTTTTTTAACGTTTATTTATTTTTGAGACAGGGAGAGACAGAGCATGAACAGGGGAGGGTCAGAGAGAGGGAGACACAGAATATGAAGCAGGCTCCAGGCTCTGAGCTGTCAGCACAGAGCCCGATGCGGGGCTAGAACTCACGGACCGCGAGATCATGACTGACCTGAGCCGAAGTTGGCCGCCTAACCGACTGAGCCACCCAGGCGCCCCTAAACTGCCAAGATTGTTAGCCATAGAGTCTTTGTACTGCCACCTGGCCTAGTGAACAAAACTCTAGGCTGGAGGTACAGATGCTGCTTCTTCCGTCTACTAGGCAGATGACTTTGACCCACTCTCTCAACCTCTCTAAGCATCAGTTTCCTATCAGTAAAACAAGCATAAAATCTACCTCACTGGGTGATGTCAATGATTAAATGAGATTAAAAGAGAAAAAGCTCTATAAACGTGCCTACCACAGTGCCTGGTCCACTGTAGGAGGAGTTATTAGTGTTAACGAAATCTAAATCCTTTGATAAAAATATATCGAAAATAAAAAAACTATATATTGCACAAAATTATTAGCCCTTCCAAACCTCCAAGATTTTAACTTATAGTAAAAGATTATTTGCTTATAAAAATCCCATCTTAAGTGAAATAGTGAAATATGCTTTTACACAAAGTAACTGGTAAAAGTTTGTTCATAAGTAATTTTGTGAATATTTATATAATTTCATTAGGTTTTTGTAGATCCTAATTTAATAATAGAGGGAAAAGGAAGTACATGCATTTGATTACTGAAGGAGAAGAGAATTTTTCCAATTAAGTTCTTAAGAGCCAATTTTCATTTTCCAGAATATACATTTTTATGGAATGACTCTAGTCCTGAGTCAGATCATAAAGGCATGGTTTACTGAATTTTAGACCCAACTACCTTGGGGAGCTGGTGTGCAATCTTGAATTCCAATCAAGGGAGCATTTGAAATTAGGGCTGCTTTTGTGTGATTATTCTCATCCTGTTGGAATGATCTTTTACTTAGAATTTAAGTTGTTCATTTAATCTTTCCCTTTTAATCCATTTTTCACTATCTTTCTTCCTAATCCCCCTAAAACTCTGTTCTCTATTTCCTATACTACACAGTCACCAGTATTTGAAATCCCATTATCATTTTTTGGTTTGTTAGATTCAAAGTTCCACAAGTACAGAGATTTTATCAGCTTCTAATACTACTATACATATAGTGAGTACTTAACACACTACCTGACATAAAGCAGGTGTCCAAAATGAGTTCGTTGAATGAATGAAACACTTTTTTAAGTTTGTTACCATGATTTAATAATGCAAATACCTTCAGTAGTAACATAGCCTACAAATCCATCACTAGAACCTTAACAGACTCAAAGTACTTAGATGTCCACTGTGTGCCACAACTATGCTAGTACCTTAGGCACAAAACACTTAGCAGCTATGATAAGAAATTGCTTTTCTGAGATCAGGTTTTATCTAGGGGAAGGGAAAGGATGTATCTAGGACACAGGGCATCTTGGAAGGGAGAATTCTATAAGGGAAAACCAATAATAATAATGGCTTTCATTTACTGCGTTCTAACTGTAGAGCAGACATTATCTCATTCAACCTTTATGCCAACACTATGAGATTATTTCCATTTGACAGATAAAAAAAATTGAGGCTTATAGGTGTTAAGGAACTTCCCCAAGGTCATGCAGCAAGGCTAAGCTTTGAAACCGTTTTCTTACCCCAGAGCCTTGTTTCTGGTCACAGTGCTTCTGGCATTTTCTTCCACAGGCAGGTTCTTGGGACAGGGTGAGGTGGGGGTAGAAGCAAAGGGAAACGTGAGCTGGTGGTGCCACCAGACCAGCCTCATCTATATCATAATGTTGTTTAGAGTAGGCTTTGTTCAGGAGGAAAGGTAACTAATACTCATAGAGTTTCATTATCCAATTTTACTCTTTCTTACTAAAAGTCCCTTGGGACAACACAGGATCCTAGACAACATTCCCACTCTTAGAGGCTTATAGCTGAACCCTGGAATGTGTGCAGGAAATACCAGAGATCCCAAGATATAGATCTACTTTAGCAAGTATGCATCAGCCATAATGTGAGAATCTTAGGTTCTCTACGTCTGAAGTTAACTCAACTGCTTACCTCAGCTGTTTCCCAGTCTTCTGAGAAAGCAGTGGCAAATGCTAGAAAGCTACTATATGACGGAAGTGAGTACAAGGTGTCTCATGCTGTCTACACAGATTATGGGACTTCAAACCAGGCCAGTAAATGCCTGCATATGATAGTAAACCCCAGAGGCAGAGACGTCTGACTTTCCACACAGTGGGATATAGATGTATTAGCCATGTCTAATGAACCAGTAGAGCTGGTCTCAGGAATTCGTTTGTGAGAGGGTTTGTGTCTGAAGAACCAGAGAGAGTGGGCTTTTAGAGGGAGAATGCAAAGAATAATGTGATGTGTGTCATTGATTCTAGCTCCTGACATCAGCCCCCATAGACTCATGTTTGAGACCTGAGGAGGCAAAACCTGATGGAAGAATTTTCCTGAGAAGCTCTGTGAGGCTGGAGGCAGGTCCCATAATGCCTGGGACCTGGTGACCAAGTAGGACAGCCAGGTAGGAAGAACTATTCTCTCCATATTGGGGTTAGCCACAGCAGCATTCTCTTTCAGAGAGCTCTGGGTGCTGCATCCTGCCCTGGGCATGTTAAGGATTGGCAGCCTGAAAAGCTCTGAAGGCCCTCTATCCCAGACAAAGGCATCAGTGCCCACAGGTGGGCAGTGGCCATGGAATGGTGGCACCATCCAATGCCTTCAAAGGTGGCTGAAACCAACAGAGAAGCTATAGAAATATCACATGAAGATATTGGATGTGAATTCCCTTTAGATACCCCCCCCACAACCTTCTGTGAATAAATTCCAATGTTTGCTGAAGATTCTGTGTTTGAAGGTAGTTAAAAGAACTAGATGCCTTAAATGATTACTTAAAATGTGACCCACAAAGGCTTGTATTATCCTGAGAATGGAATTTTATGCTACTAAAAATAAGTTTTGAGAATCCCAGACCCACTCATGGAAAAATGGCTTGGACCCTTTTACCTCCTTGCTCTTCTTATCAGCTCCTGCCCCCTTCTGTCATCCCAGCCTTTCTTCTTGTCCTGTGCTATCCACATGCTGCTCTTCCCTGATGATGAATACGCTGGGCTTCTCCTAATTTGACCTTTCTCTCTTGAACACTGTTGACTTGTTGACTATAGATTACCCCTCCCCAGTGTTGGCCCCTGCCAAGAGCAGCCCCATTCCTCTGCCTAGCTTTGCCTGCCTCTCACAAGTGGAGTCAAACATAGAGAAAAACTCTTTCCACACTAAGGTTTAGTGAAAACAGACAGCAAGTACTTGAGACCCTCCACATAAATGCAAAAAAACAGACATCTGTAGTTTACATGATACATGTTTCTAGGTTAAAGGACAGTATATTATAAACATAAATGACACTTTCTGAGAAGCATATTGTATATATTATAATTCTTAGCATTGTAAAACAAGAATGTTAAAGTCCCCTAAAGAGAGAAGAGACCATCTGTGGTTTTATGGCATGAAGCAGATGGAACAGTATCTGAGAAGGGCTTAAGTTTCTCTTCCTGATATTGTCATCAATTCAGTCATAACTTGAATAGTCTGAGAAGGATGTTTTCAAATTTTAAGGTGACATAGTATTTAGGAAGCACCATGTAAATGATGGAGTACATCAGAATTCACCCCAGTGATTGAGTATCAACTGTGTTCCTGGCATACACCTCATACCACGTGTTATCAAATGTAACCCTGTTACATACCCAGGCAATGCAGTTATGAGAACCAAACTTTTTCCCTCCTAGTTTTTCCCTGATCGCATTATTTCCATTATTGTCTGGCACAAGATTATTTCAAAACTTTTGCACAGCATTCCAAGGTCTTCCAGTGGAAAGAATCAAATAAAGGAAGCAAATAATTTCACCCTTCCATCTAAAAGGGCTTTGTCTCTATGATATAAACTATGGCTGTCTTAAAGCACAACAGCTACCAACTCTATTATGGGCCCTCTGAATGAGAGCCTCGAGAGGCCTTGGAATCTGCATTTTAACATACTCCACAGGTATTTTTTTGCGAAATTTGAGAACAAATGCCCCCAGCATATCCTAGTTTGCTACAAAAATATGAGAAAATGCTCCACAAACACTATGTTCTTCATATACTCTTAGAGGTTGAAATGAATAGAATCAGGATACCTATTTTGTTTGTGAGGGGGTTTTGGGGTTTTTTTTTTTTTTTTGGTTTTTTGTTGTTATTTCTGTTGTTTTTAAGGAGTGAAAGATATGCAAATAGTTGAACAAGAAAGCATGTATGATAAAGATCTACAGAAACGAATTATATATGTCCTCCAAAGGGGAATTAATACAGTAGGACTTACACATTTTTACAACCTGGATTAAGCCTATTCTATGGTGTCATACAATTAGGATTTGTGAAAGAAGAATTACTTCACTCCCAGTGAATCAAAGCAAAACAGCTTTCAAAATATCATATGTCTTTTCCCACAGACATAATGCACAAAAAACTATTTAGGCAAATTCACCCAGTGGACACTGTTTATTACAACATACTTTCAGTAAAGTCTCTTTGGACTAGATCAGCTCATGGCAGCTTGACGTGGAATGCCCAAACATTGGAACAGCTGCTCTATAAGTAAAATATCTTGTTACATTTTCATTAACTAACCTACTATTCAGAATATCTTGTCAGTGTGTCTCACAAACATATGAAGTCTCATAAGACTATTCAAAATCTACTAAAACCCAAGAACAAGAATGTATATTTCTCCAAAGAAGACCAAAGCAGGAGGCATCACAATCCCAGACTTTAGCCTCTACTGCAAAGCTGTCATCATCAAGACAGCATGGTATTGGCACAAAAACAGACACATACACCAACGGAATAGAATAGAAACCCCAGAACTAGACCCACAAACGTATGGCCAACTCATCTTTGACAAAGCAGGAAAGAACATCCAATGGAAAAAAGACAGTCTCTTTAACAAATGGTGCTGGGAGAACTGGACAGCAACATGCAGAAGGTTGAAACTAGACCACTTTCTCACACCATCCACAAAAATAAACTCAAAATGGATAAAGGACCTGAATGTGAGATAGGAAACCATCAAAACCCTAGAGGAGAAAGCAGGAAAAGACCTCTCTGACCTCAGCCACAGCAATTTCTTACTTGACACATCCCCAAAGGCAAGGGAATTAAAAGCAAAAATGAACTACTGGGACCTTATGAAGATAAAAAGCTTCTGCACAGCAAAGGAAACAACCAACGAAACTAAAAGGCAACCAACAGAATGGGAAAAGATATTTGCAAATGACATATTGGACAAAGGGCTAGTATCCAAAATCTATAAAGAGCTCACCAAACTCCACACCCAAGAAACAAATAACCCAGTGAAGAAATGGGCAGAAAACATGAATAGACACTTCTCTAAAGAAGACATCGGGTTGGCCAACAGGCACATGAAAAGATGTTCCATGTCGCTCCTCATCAGGGAAATACAAATCAAAACCACACTCAGATATCACCTCACGCCAGTCAGAGTGGCCAAAATGAACAAATCAGGAGACTATAGATGCTGGAGAGGATGTGGAGAAACGGGAACCCTCTTGCACTGTTGGTGGGAATGCAAATTGGTGCGGCCACTCTGGCAAACAGTGTGGAGGTTCCTCAGAAAATTAAAAATAGACCTACCCTATGACCCAGCAGTAACACTGCTAGGAATTTACCCAAAGGATACAGGAATACTGATGCAAAGGGGCACTTGTACCCCAATGTTCATAGCAGCACTCTCAACAATAGCCAAATTATGGAAAGAGCCTAAATGTCCATCAACTGATGAATGGATAAAGAAATTGTGGTTTATATACAAAATGGAGTACTACGTGGCAATGAGAAAGAATGAAATATGGCCCTTTGTAGCAATGTGGATGGAACTGGAGAGTGTTATGCTAAGTGAAATAAGCCATACAGAGAAAGACAGATACCATATGTTTTCACTCTTATGTGGATCCTGAGAAACTTAACAGAAACCCATGGGGGAGGGGAAGGAAAAAAAAAAAAAGAGGTTAGAGTGGTAGAGAGCCAAAGCATAAGAGACTCTTAAAAACTGAGAACAAACTGAGGGTTGATGGGGAGTGGGAGGGAGGGGAGGGTGGGTGATGGGTATTGAGGAGGGCACCTTTTGGGATGAGCACTGGGTGTTGTATGGAAACCAATTTGACAATAAATTTCATATGTTGGAAAAAAAAGTCATAGAGGGGGAAAAAAAAATTGTATACTTCTCCGAAGATGTTCACATTGAGTCACAAAGCCCATCCCAATATCCTTTGCTCAGGTTTACAGAATTAATTAGCTCACTTATTTATTTATTCATTCATTCATTCATTCATTCATTCATTCATTTCACCTAGGACTACAGCTAGTCTCAAAAGCTCTTGAAGCTCCCTGTAATGGTCGAGCCAGTGCCTTGGTCCTAGGGGGCCTACCAGGCCTGAATAACATCTGATTTCTCCTGCACCAAATGATCTCACCATATAATTCCAAATCCAGAAGATTTAGGTTGCTCTTGTAGAAAGCTCCTGGAAAGACTATGACTACCCAGGTGACCCAGTTTACCCCTGAGCTTTCCTGAGAAAAAGACTCTAAATGTACTAACCATTAGCCAAACCAGATCTAGTCCCTTCTTTTCTGCCTTTTGAAGTAATTGTAACCTAATGCAGAAATCCTTAAAAAGGGCTTCATGGATGGGCTTCACTGATTGCATAAAATGCTTAAGATTGTGTGTGAAGATTTTCTATGTAAATGTGCGTATTAATTTCCCTAAGGAGATTGTCTACAGAGTCCTACATTTTTTCAGAAAGGTCTGTGACATTAACGGTTATGACATTCACATCTTAAAGGTTGGTAATAGCCCTGAGTTAGAACCTATTCCTTGTGTTTATTGACTTACTTTATAGCAGGAGCCTTCACTTCTTTGTGTCCTGTGTACTACCCATGTACTGAGAAAAGAGTAAGCAGCTTGCCTTCTGTATCAGTCAGGAATTGGCTTTGCCTGCTAGTAACACAGATCCTGTCACAGTGGCTTAAACAAATTAGGGATTTATTCTTTCTTGTAAAAGAAATCTGGGAAGGGAAACCCACAGTCTTTATGCAGCCACTGAGACGCCATTAGTGACATGGGCTACTTCTACCTTCCTGCTCTGATATTGTCAGGACCTAGCTTTGTACTTTACAATGACAAGAGAGCTGCCATCTGTCTGTTTTTCTTTTTAGGAACTTTCCTAGATGTTCCACCAGATAAATTTACTTTATATCGTATTGGCCAGAACTTAGCAACAAGGGAGAAATGAGAAATAAAAGCTTCATTGGCAATTGGTGTGCTTCTCCCACACCTCCCAAAATCAGGTTTTTGTTACTAAGGAGGAAGGGGAAAACATGTTCAGTAGGCAACTAGCAACCTCCTTTATCTTTCCTGAGAACAGATGTTAATGAAGTGCTTATTTTCTGCTTAGGTTTCCTCAGGAAGAA